ATTAGTGGTTACGGGCAGCAGGAGGGGACTGGAGGAAGAGGAGGGCAGGAGGAATTACCAAAGGTCATGAAGAAACTCTTGGGGGTGATAGATGTGTTCACTATCTTAATTATGACGATGGTTTTACAGGTGTACAGGCCAAAACTCAAAGTACACATTTTAAACACGTGCAGCTTATTGCTATCTCAATAAAGCCATTTAAAAAAAAAAGAATGGGATGTGTAGAGGAAGAGTCTGGTGGAAGGGAAACTAACTATTATAATAATCCTGGAGAGAAATGATTAGCTCTGAATACAGACAATACCAATAGAGCAGTGAAATAAAAAGGATTTAAGAAAAGTTAATTTTTTGAAGTTCAAATTTGGATTTTATTCTATTTGACATATGTAACAATGAACTGTGTTAGGTCTACATTTTTTAGCTCTTTAAACATTTCTCTAACTGCACTGAGACAGAAAGAATTGCAGAAATGAACAGGGAGACAAAATTGTACAGTGAAAAAGAAAGTCTGTTTTAAAGTTCAAGGAGCCCTGGTGAAACTGTGTAACTGCATACAAGTCACATGAGCCTCCGAGTTCTCATCTGTAAGAAGTTGTGTTCTTCAAAGGATAGGGTGCAATAATATAGATGAAAGGGCTTGATGCTATACAAATTGGAAGCATTATTATTGCCCGGTTTAAATTTGTTTTAAAAAACCACAACCCTGGCCAGGCGCGGTGGCTCACGCCTGTAATCCTAGCACTCTGGGAGGCCAAGGAGGGAGGATCGCTTGAGCTTAGGAGTTCGAGACCAACCTGAGCAAGAGCGAGACCCTGTCTCTACTTAAAAAAAAAGAAAAAACCACAATCCTGACAACCAAGAGCAGCACCATGATGCATCCAAGGTAACAGCTATTTAGGGGCAAGGTCCTCAGGAGGACACTTAATTTCTCTGGACCCCAACTCTTCTCATCTGGAAAACAAATGAACTGAACCAGATAGTGTCTAAGTTCCTCTGCCCCAATTACTATGAAATCTTAAAGCCTATCAAGAGGGTCATGGAGGGACCAGTCAGAAGGTCAGGATCTGAACAACACTGGCTGACCAAAGACCTGATTTTAGAAAAAACTGGCTTGTATCAACTGTGATTTTAAGCTGCCTTTATTGCTACAGTTCACACGAAGTCACGGTGTCTAAAGCAGTGCATTCTGATTTCACTCACTAGTGTCACTTGTTTAAAAACAAACTAACTTTCAAAATTTAACTGTAATGGCTTTCTTGGCTTTCTTTTTTGTCACTGATCCACAGAAATAATGAAGCAGATTGCTCAGTCATTGCTATCAAAGACCCAGTGTCATCCAATCTATAAAAGCTCAGAATTCTCTAAAAGGATACATGTTAAAACTAGTAATTATATTTGAGTGACAGGATTTCAGTTGGTTTAACCCTTATCTCTCTTTGTTCATTTATATTTTCTGGCTTGTTTAATATAAACAAGTATCTTTTGTATAATTTTTTAAAATCATGAATGGAAAAAAAATTATCTTAAAAATCTTAATGAAAAATAGCACATGAACAGACAGTATCATCTACTCCAAATGTAAACTAAGTATCATAGGGGAACGCCTTTTACAATGCAATTGTTAAGCAGTGACACTTGAGTTAGAATGAAATAGAAATCACTGGCACACTGAAATGTAATCAGAGCATTCTTACTAAGTGGTGCTTATCTTAACCACAGACATTTTATAGATGAACTTTCACAATGTTACAGATCATTAATGAGCAAGCTAACTCCCATATGAAACTGGAAGCCGGAACACTGAGAGGAGTCAGGCAGAGCAGAACACTGAGGTGGGTGGATCATATCTGGCGCATACCACCTCGGTCCTTACATAAAAGAGTAAACATTCAAAAGGAAGACAGAAGCATCAATGAGATAAATACGCATCTGATAACACATAAATACTTATCTAGGAAAAATAATAAAAATCCAAATTCATAACATTCCTGAAAACAGAGTATCACAAGCAATGATAAACAACAAAGCAAAGTCCCTGATTATTTCAACTTATTTCCACTCTATACATTAAGTATGGCTCTTCTTCCTGAGTGGCCTAAAGGACACCTTAGTAGATACCTATCTTCATCCCACAGCCCACACCACACACAAAGTCACATATAATCTAACAACTACTTGAAGCTTTAAGGGTAAAAATATTCAACTTGACTAAGGCCCAAAGTTTGGCATTCTTCAACTGAATCTTATTAGAGCCCTTGTCATGTGACCTTGGGCAAGGCACAGGGATAACTTTTGGCCTCAATTTCCTTATCCTTAATGTAAGAAGGTTAAACTAGATCACCAAGTCTCAAAAAAAGAGAAGGGAAGGGCCAGGCATGGTGGCTCATGCCTATAATCCTAGCACTTGGGGAGGCTGAGGCAGTGGATTGCTTGAGGTCAGAGCAGCCTAAGCAAGAGAGAGACCCTGTCTCTACAAAAAATAGAAAAATGAGCCAAGCATGGTGGCACATGCCTATAGTCCCAGCAACCTGGGAGGCAGAGGCAAGAGGGTCACTTGAGCCCAGGAGTTTGAGGTTGCAGTGAGCTATGATGACACCA